TTCTTTCTTTCTTTCTTTCTTTCTTTCTTTCTTTCTTTCTTTCTTTCGTAGCTGTCACAGTACCTTCCTGTACCAAGGGGGTGAAAGCTCCATGTAGGCACCAGCTTGACTTTAACATGTTCAGTGAGTTGCATGGATGTTGTCAGTTTTTAGAGAGTAACATTTTATCTTAGCCACAGCCTGAGATGTTTGGGGATTTCCATGGAACCCTCTTGGCCAACCACTCAATTGAATGCAACTCAGTCCACCACTGGAAGTCTCATCTGGCCACAAGAGATGGCCAGTTGAGACTCCATCCATATCCCTCATTACTAGAAGTCCTTATTAGGATTACTTTTTATAGATTTCAGGAAGTTTCTGCTCTACTGGATTTCTATACCACTCCAAAATGTCCTACCCCAAATTCAATAGTTTCTTCCTACAGTCAGTCTCTCCACCCCATTTCCATCCTACCTGATTTCCCCAAACCTGCTCCAGACTTCACCCACCCACCCATCTACCCACCCACAATCTTCCCTTAAAATCTATTCTATTTCCCCCTACGAGGGAGATCCAAACATTCCTCCTACACACCTTTTCTTAACTTAACTTGTCTAGGTCTATAGATCGTAGCTTGGTTATCATTTACTTAATGGCTAATATTTCCTTATAAGAGAATACACACCACATTTATTTTTCTGGGTTCAGGTTACCTCACACAGAATGATTTTTTTCTAGTTCCATTCATTTGCTTGCAAATTTCATAATGTAATTTTTTTGTTAACAGCTGAGTAGCACTCCATCGTATAAATGTACCACATTTTCTTTATCCATTCTTCTTGATGGACATCCAGGTTGTCTCTAGTTTCTGGCTATTATGAATAAAGCTACAATGAATATGGTTGAGCAAGTGTCCTTGTGCTAGTATGGAGTGTCCTTCAGGTATATGCCTAAGGGTGGCATAGCTAGGTCTTGAGGTAGATCAAGTCCCAGTTTTCTGAGCAACCATCATTTGATTTCTAAGTTGGCTGTACAAGTTTGTACTCCCAGCCACGGAGGAGATTTTCCCTTGCTCCACATGCTCACCAGCATGAGTTGTCACTTGTGTTATTTATCTTAGCCATTCTGACAGGTGTAAGATGGAATCTCAAAATAGTTTTGATCTGTATTTCCCTGGTGGCTAAGAATGTTGAACATTTCTTTAAGTGTTTCTTAGCTATTTGAGATTCCTATATTGAGAATTTTGTTAAGATGTTTCCCATTTTAAATTGGATTATTTGGTTTTCAAGCCTGAGGACCTGAATTCAATCCCCAGAATCCAC